CATGAGGAAGAGCCCCGGTTACCCATGCTGACCTCTGCTGCCCCGGCTGGGTCCAATATGCAGAGCATTTGCTGAGTCACCCCATCACCCCCACCTCTGAACGGCCAAGTCTCCCAGCAGATCGTGGGCTCTCTGGGGAAGGATTACTTTGCCAGGCGGCAGAACTGTCCCCAGACAAGATTTTCCACGTCATTGTGGCCCCGTGTTATGACAGGAAACTGGAGGCCCTTTGAGAAGATGTTCCCACAGCTTACATAGTTCCCGGGGTGCTGGCTGAGTGTTAACCTCAGCTGAAATTATCCAGATAATGGAGCAAAGTGATCTCGCCTCAAATAACATCGCTGTGAACACTCTTTTTGGAGACACAAAGGAGGAGATGAGGCTCCACGAGGGTGCCAGCTCCGACAGGCACACTTCTTCAGGCCCATGGCCAAAGAGCTGTTTAACGGGGACGTGGGAGTGCTCACCTACCGCACCCTGAGGAACAAAGACTGCCAGGAGGTCACCTTTGAAAGGGACAGAGAGGTTCCGCTGCGCTTTGAGGCTGCTTACAGCTTTCAGAACAGCCAGAAGTGGTCCTGAAGCTGTAGAGGGGCGACTTCCCTGCCACTTCATGGAAGTCCTGGCCTGTGCCAGAGATGCCTAAGTGTCAGGGGCCGGGGCCAGGCCCAGGCCGATGACGGGCATGCAGACAGAGCACTGCTGCAGCAGATGAAAGGATCTATGCTGCCGTCCAGGCGTGGCCCCAGAGACCAGTGCCCATGTGCAGGAGCTGTACCAGGAGTGGCTGGGGCAACTCCCCCTGGCCCAGGCAGCCCTGCACACCGTCTAGCAGGGCCCAGGGCAGCCTGCCAGGACATCAAGTGGTAAAGGTCCAGCAGATGCCTGGCCTGCAGGCTGCCTGAGTAGGGGTGTCAGACATGTGAAGGAAAGGCTTAGCATCTCTGTCATCACTTTGGTTTTCAGAATTTCAGAATTCCCCATCTGCTGGCTTCCTCCCTCTGAGAGGTGCTATCATCATCTTCAAAAGCAATAATTTATTCTAATGACTCTCCCATTACTTATAGAATTTTTAAAATTCTTTATAGACTCCCTTTAGTAATAGATGTGCATTCTTTTGAATTTCATATATATATAAATAATTTATTTCAGAAAGGAAAGAAGTGGGAGAGAAAAGTAGAAACATCAGTGATGAGAGAGAATTATGGATTGGCTGCCTATGGGGATCTAGCCTGCAACCCAGGCATGTGCCCTGGACAGGACTCAAACTGGGGGCCCTTCAGTCCATAGGCCACCGCTCTAAACACTGAGCCAAACCAGCTAGGGCTTGACTTTCTTAAGGAGGTATATAACTTTGCTCTTTGAAGATAGAGTATTTGAAACAGTAAAAAGACAATTGAGCTGATGATTAAATATTGGGCAATATTATCCTTCAGCCAAAAATCAAACTTTCACCCTGAGGTAATGAGAACACTCCCTCATTCTGTAGATAATGTTCAGATTTACATTCTTGTTGGAATAAATTAATAGCTCCAAGGTGAATCTTTCTCTGAGAGCTTAGCTAAATCAGACATTTTGATAAATCAACACTTGTAGATTTGTTTTAAAACTAAATTTTACAGTTATGCATCATCACTTTTATCTTCAAAACTGGATCATAAGCATCATAGATGCTTGCCATTTTGAACTTTTCTCATAGCACTCATTTTATTATTCTTAATAGCTTGTACACCTGTCTTCTCTTTCAAGACTGGAAGTTCCTTGAAAGCTCAGACCATGCTTTAGGTACCTTTATATGCCAACATCTACCTCAGTGAACTGCAGGTAGTAAATCATATGTTGAATGAATAAATGAATGAATTAATGAATTAAATAGATGAATTGCTTAGGTCACTATTGTCCTGTATATTTCCATTGATCTTAAACTGTTAAAAATAACTGAATTTGGCCATTTTACACCTAGATTGAGGCCACTTTTACCCAGGAAGATCCGATTAAAAAATTTTCTTTTAAAAAAATTTTTATTAAGGTATTATATGTGTACATATCTTACCATTGCCCCCCTCACCCCACTCCCATACATGCCCCCCCACCCGAGTTTTGCATCCATTTATCTCTTATCTCCCCTACCTCTCCCTAACCTTCCCGCTGTAATTTGACATTCTGTTTGATGAGTTACTGTCTCTATCTATATTTTTGTTCATCAGATTGTAATTATCTTTGTTATCCATAAATGAATGAGATCATGTGGTCTTTTTCTTTCATTGACTGGCTTATTTCACTTAGCATAATGTTCTCCAATTCCACCCAGGTTGCTGCAATGGTAAGAATTTCTTCTTTTTATGGCAGCATAGTATTCCATTGTTAAATGTACCATAGTTTTCTGATCCAGTCATCTGCTGCTGGGCACCTCGACTGTTTACAAATCTTAGCTATTGTAAATTGTGCTGCTATGAGAGGAAGATCTGATTTTAAAGATTGCCCAATATCATTTCTCTGTGATATTTGCTAATAGAATTCATTAACACAATGTATGTTTCCTTACAGTCAGTCAATAAAATTTTACTGAGTGAATATTGAATGACTGAATATATTTGGTTCACAGTTGACAAATTTTTGTTTTTTTATAAATGAAAATGTTCATTCCTGGAGTGATTGCTGATGGGTTTCCTTAACTCAGCTACTCTCAAAAAGTCCTCTTTGTCAAATTTTGTGAAGAGTTTTTATTTTCTTTGGAAAGCATTTAATATTTGATATTTACCCAAGGTTTGTTTGTCCTAGCATAAAACTCATTTTATTGTTAATACTCATTTGGCACTGAGTTGAATAACAACTGTTTATCCTCTTCTATTACTAAGATCATATCAAATTTTGTTACTTTTCTCAAAATACTGCATAGCGTAGGTCTTCAAAAAGCTCTGGAGTGTGGCTGTGAAAACCACAATTCTCCTTGTCATTTAATAAGACACCAGAAAAATATACAAAGCACAATGGAAAGGTATCTCCCTCCCTCCCTCCCTCCCTCTCTCTCTCTCTCTCTCTCTCTTTCTCTCTCTCTCTCTCTCTCTTTCACACACACACACACACACACACACACACACACACACACACTTGGTCACAGATTTAATTAATTATATGTTGAATTATAAGAAAGCTTTAATTGCACAAAGATAGTACATAACATCTCAAATATAAAAAAAAGAAAATTGGTAATGCTATTGAAATACAAAGACTTTTTTTTCAAGGATAGAAAAAAATTATACTCGGGATTCATAAATCTTTCTCATTATAAGCATATGGAGTGATTTACTCAATCAGCTTTTATATATAGATAGGACTTTTTTCTTTTTTGAAGAATTCCATTGTAGCTACAGGTAAGAAATTGATTGATATAACAATGTATTGTGGTAATGTTGTAGCTTTCCTTTATTTTGCTTTTAGTGTAAGGATTGCTAAAGACTTATTTAAAACCAGGGCCTCATTGCAGGAAGATTCCTGCAAGACTTCCAGCAGGCTTTCCGCCTGCCACTGCCACTTCTTCTGTCCCCCCACCTCTCTGCACCCCACCCACCCTGCCCCACCCATGGCCACTGCTACCGCCTCTGTGGCTACATGACACCCAACCCACCACACCCGCCACTGGGGCTGCACGCACTGCCCGTGCTTTTTCTCCAGCAGCCATTTTGCTTTCCACTTTTCCTCCTTCTTCCTTCTCTGCTGTCTTCAGTCTTCACTCCTCCCTCCCTCATTGTACGCAAATTAACTGCCATCTTTGTTGGGTTAATTTGCATACTCCCTCTTATTGGCTGTGGGCATAGCAAAGGTATGGTCAATTAGCATTTTTTTCTTTTATTAGTGTAGATACCTAACTGATATAAGGGGGATAAATGGTAATGGAAGGAAACTTGACTTAGAGAGTGATAAGCACAAAATACAATATAAGATGACATATATTAGAATTGTACACCTGAAACCTATATCATTTTATTAACCGATGTCACCCTCATAAATTCAATAAAAAAGTAAAAAAAAAAAAATACCCAACTGACATAATGTGCTTTCATATCATTTCTGTGTAGAAAGAAGACACTGATGGAATCATGATCCTTCCCATCATTGTTTTGTTGCACATCACCTGGCCTCTTTCTACATCCGTTGCTTTGTTAAGAAGGAGGCCAAGCTGAAACTGGTTTGGCTCAGTGGATAGAGCATCAGCTTGTGGACTGAAAGGTCCCAGGTTCGATTCTGGTCAAGGGCATGTACCTTGGTTGCGGGCACCTCCCAATAGGGGGTGTGCAAGAGGCAATTGATCAATCATTCTCTCTCATCGATGTTTCTAACTCTCTATCCCTCTCCCTTCCTCTCTGTAAAAAAAAAATCAATAAAATATATTAAAAAAAAAAGAGGGAGGTCAAGGGAGTTCAAATTTTAGACAGCAGGTGACAGGGCTGCCATCCTGCCAACCTGGCTAATCACCAGCAAGCTTTACCTAGAATGGTTCTCCTAAAGGCAAGATGAGAAACACACTTGCCTTCCAGTGAAAGGTGCCCAGCCAAGTTTGCAAAAGAACAGAACGACCAATGCTGTGCTGGCTAAGTTTGGGTTCAGACGAGGGTGTTCCAAGCAGAGGGCCAAGCCATGATTTATGAAGCATCGTGGTCAATGCCCAAGTCAGACTGGTCCTACAGAGACTGCCAAAGAAACCCTCTGGGTGTCAAGGTCCTACACAAAGCACTCAGGGTGGCAGGACCCCGCTGGTCCCTCTGCCTCTTCAGACAAGTGTTCAGGAGGGGATACCCAGCCATGAGGGCAGTGCCCTCCCATCCTGAAGTCAGCTACGTGGAGCCTGCCAGGGCAAGGCAGCACCCAGGGAAATGTGAGAGGAGCACTTGCTTGGAGGAGCAGAGGGTGGACCAGAGGGTGGAAGGCCTGCCTCCCACATCTTCTCTCCTCCCCTCAACCTTCAGTTGGTCTGTAGTGTAGAAGGAACTAGACCATGTTCAGATAAATTGGTTAGGTGTCTCTTCAGATTCCAGAACACTTGGAAATGGTAATTCTGCCAAAAGAGGCTCCGTCAAAGATGATCTGGGTGACAGACTGCAGTTAAAAACGTCATCTATTGAACCTGAAAGAAGTAAAGCAGACATTATTGCCATCACTGGAAAACAGAAGCAAAGGCACAGTGCCTTCAGGACTCATACAACACACAAGGAACCATTTCAGCACCGAAGAGAGGATCCTGGCTTCCTCAGAAATTCCAAAAGCGCAATAGAAATGGGTTACATTTTGTTTACCAGTAGGGCCTGCGTTGTCCTTCGCTTTACCTTGGCCAGAGTAGCTTTGCAGTGAGTTGCATGAGCCTTTTCTCACTTGATGCCAAAAGGCCCAAAGTAGGTTCAGCTTAGGACAAAGGTTGGGCCACTGGTGCATCTTAGCTCTGCCTTCTGCCATGGCTCTGGAGTGGAAGTGGCTCTGGAGTGGAAGTGGCTCCAGGGCCGGCTCAGAGTGAATTTTAAGGAAGCACCACCCAAGTTCACATACCCCTGTTGTCCCCAGGATGGCAGTGGGCACCCTGCACAACCTACATGACAGAGGGTGAGCAACAGTGAAACAGTAAAACCCTACCCAGGCTGCTACGGTAGTGGGTAAGGCTGGAGGGGTGTCATAAGAAGAACGAGGCATCTGAGACTGCCACAACCAGGAAAGCTCATCTTTCCCCAAAAAAGATCAAGGTAACACTCCCCAACACACACACACACACACACACACACACACACACACACACACACCACACACACACACACACACACACACACACACACACTCCTGCAAAGGAGCAGAGTACAGAGGCATCTTTGCAAGGAACACTGAGACAGAGAAAGCTAAAGCACCGTGGAAGGAGGGAGAAAAAAGGAGAGGAAAGGGGAGGAGGGGAGTGGGAGAGAGATGGGCAGAAGGAGAAGAGAGAGGGAGAGAGGGTAGGGAAGGAGAGAGATGGAGGAGAGATGGATGGGGGAGGGAGGAAAGAGAGGGAATGAGGGGAGGAACCAGAAGGAGAGACAGAGAAACAGAGACAGAAGGGCTACTTCCAAGATAAGAAATAGACAGAATAAGCATTTTGCTAAAACATCAGGTGAAAGCAATTGTATTAAATACAATTAATGAAGACCTGTATTTCACATTTAAACTTTTTGAAAGATATAGGTTCATAGAGACTGGTGGAGTTTTTTTTATTTGTTTTGGTTGGTTGTTGGAATTAGCAGCAAAAGTCCTGATTCAAGGACTTTTTACAGCCCAACTATCATAGGACAAAGACAACAGACTCAGCGATGTGACTGGTGTCATTGCTCAGCCACAGAAGCCTGACAAGTCTCCTCAACTCCTAGGAAAGAGGCACTGGATATCAAAATCCAGAATGTACCACGTATAATATGTCATTTGTTCACTGTGATCTCACAAACTCTGGAGAACCCTTCCAATTTTTTTAATCCTCACCCAAGGATATGTTTATTGATTTTAGAGAAGAAGGAGGGGAAGAGAGAGAGAAATCTATATGAAAGAGAAACATCAATCAGTTGCCTCATGTATGTGGAACCTATAACCTGGGTATGTGCCTTGACTGGAATTGAACCCGAAACCTTTCCTTATATTGATGGACAATGTTCCAGTCAACTGAGCCACATTAGCCAGGGCCAACTATTTTAATTGAAGTAAAATTGATAGCTATTGACCATGTAGACTCCTCCTCCAGCTGACACCTTTGTTCATATCTGTTGCCAGAATATGCACACCAAAAAAGCATCATTCTTTCATAATATTTAAATAAATGTTAACAATATTCAATGAGCATTAATATGTATTTAAATTAATAATATATTTTAAGATTATTTTCTGGGTGTGCTGCACAATATCACTACTATGTCAGAAAACTTTAAGGAGCTAATACTATATTTCTTTTTGGTAGTAAACATGTTTCACTTCTTCCTTTCTGAATAATGTTTTATATTACATTTCCCTTTATCTAAAGGCCTCATCTTTTCCAGGTATTAACTCTCCACTCCCATTATACTATACTACCTTTTTATTTAACTATGAGGATTGTAAACATACCTCTAGAAGTTACACTGAATTTTCGGTCAGAGAAACTGCTCCTTCGAATTAATGGTTCACTCATTTTTTCCAGAAATAATTTAATTGTCTCCTTCTTTTCTGGTCTTGTACTTGACAAATTCAGAACTTTTCCATTCACCTTTACAGTGGAATTGCTGAGCCCAAACCAATAGAAGAAATCAAATAATGCATCAGCTTTGAACTCATAGGCAAAGCTCAAATTTTCTCCATTAACCACCTCATTTCCTGGAGGGAAATAATTCTTTACTGCTTCTTGAAAATCAAACTGAAAGAGAGAGAAAAATTTGATGAATTTAATGCATATAATGATAATTTTATATCCTAGAATTCTATGTTAATAACAACTGCCCAAATGTCCAAAATGTCACACCCTTATTTTTCTTTCATTCTGGCAGATACTTTTAAACAGTTGCCTTAACTTTTAAAAAATTATTTCAGAGAGGAAGGGAGAGGGAGATAGAAACATCACTGATAGAGAGAACCATTGATTGGCTGCCTCCTGCATGCCCCCTACTGGGGATTAAACCGACAACCTGGGCATGTGCCCTGACTGGGAATCAAACATTGACCTTCTGGTTCATGGGTTAATGCTCAACCATTGCCTTAACAAAAACATATGTATTTGAATCATATTACATCTACAGACCTTGAAGTGCTTGGTCAAACTGGCATTCATTATTATCCCATTTCTGATAAGTTGCTACAAACTCTGCTTATTTTATTGGTAGTGATTATGGAGCAATAGAAAACATCTCTGTCTGGACTCAGCTAAGTTATAGCTGAGCTCTAGGGACTCAGCCCTATACGAAGTGCTGGAACCCCTCTCTCTGTGGCAGCAGTCCTGGATTCAGACAGGCTAACACTCACCTGGAGCCGGTAGCTTTCTCCAATCACTGAGGAAATGACCATGTCCATCCCTTGCTCTATCTGTCTTCTTATCTTAGGGTGCCTTGTGTTAACAAGGAAGGCATATGTTCTTTCTAGAAATTTGGAAGCAGAATTCAAAAAAAGAAGTGTTCACGTGTGACATAACATACTTCTTAGTGTTGGACAAAGCAGCGATTCCCAACTTATTTGCAGATTTTATTCATTTTTAGTCCCCCTCACTGCAAAACCTCACCAAATTTCTAGAAACATTCAGAGAATTTTGCAGATGAGAAGGAACCAGGACCCCCTGGGCTGCACTTTGTCACTTCTGTCTGGAAAATCATCGTTATCAGAAATGAGAACTGAGCCTCCACGGAAGCATGCAGCACAGGGAGCTGAAGTGAGAAAGAAACATGGGATGGCTAGTGTTCCTAGATATTTGAACAATGACCTGACTGTCACTCACATGTTGTCATTTGCAAAACAAAACATCAACCAAGTCCAGGGAAGAAGGCTGCCCCATATCTCCCCCTCTCACTAAATCCTTCTTCCCAGGGACTTTGATTCTGCCAAAGGGATGTCTAGGGTGTTATGAATCAAGGCAATTTGAGATGGACTCTCTTCTGTGCCCTAACAATCCCCAGTGGGAAAGAAGTCCCTCCCATTGCTTAAATTACACCATGTCTGTGTCCTGGTACAGTTGAGAGCTGGAGGTTAATTCTAACAGGTCATAAATGCAAGAAGTTCATCAAAAGGTTGGCGGACCTTGAGCCTTCAACAAGGAATGAATATTCGATACATATTATTGCCTACTGGAATAGCCGAAAGAATTTCCCCAAGCCTGAAGATCTGCATATATTGCCTGTTATCAGACAGCTGAGGGCATTTCAATCTACATGTTATTGCCTCCTGCTGGCCAAACATTGGCAGTTCCCCCAAAACTGACAATACCTAATGCATACTAATTGAAATGTATATCTAACTTGCTATAGGGCAAAAGGTGGGAATAAAAAGAGCCCTAGATCCAGAGATAGAGAGAATTTACCTACTATAGCTAAGCTTCCTTTGGCTCCCCCATGGATTACAAATTTATATTATATTTCTAGTCTCTTTATTAATTTACATGCAGTGCCTTCTCCAGATTCCTGAACCCTTCCAGATGCTGGAGAAAAAAACCCATCGGTTGAGGTTTTGTTATGTTTTTGTTGTTATTTTTTGTTTTTGTAATCTCTTAAATCCAATTCTACCCAATTCTATATAATCTAAGCAAAATGAAGATTGTATACTCATTAAGAATTTTGAAATACTATTAACCAACAGCCCCTTAACTTTTCAGCCCCCAGAATTACTGAAGTGCTTTTTCTAGGGAGACACATAACATAGACTGCCGGCCTCTGTTTAAACACCTGGGCCAGCCATTAGGTGATTTTGAGAACTCAACATTTTTCCTTGGCTTTCAGCACTACAACTGTGGTCCACCAATAGCACATGTTACATCCTTGAGGAACACATTTTAAGCTAAGCTTTGCACTGACCTTATTCATCTTAATTTTTCTACCCCTGTCTTTCTCCTAAATTATTTTTGGGCATTTTAGATATATACTCTTTGACTCAGACATAACAAAACAAGTAAAACAAGCAAGCTATTTTATACTTTAAATTTACTTTCACACAAAGCAAACCAGGGCCTTTGTGCGTTCTTGGGGCAGGCATACTTCGCTGCTTCCGCACACCCCTATATTGATTGCATAGGTTGTACACAGCACAACCTGAAGGAGACTATTCACAGTCACAAACTTATTTGTGTGTTTATTATGAAAAATTATGGGAAGAATTAGTAAATTGTCTTGAGCTAATGGTGGCTTTTTCTAATTTGAACAAAAGTACAGTTTAAGATATAGCAGCTGGGCTGGACATCATGTTATCTTAATCACGATTTTCACAATTTAAACTTCACCATCTTACTTAAGCTTTTGTAGCATTAACTCTCTCTTCATATCATGGCTTTCCTTACAATGAATCAGCACTGGGTTTCTATACCTCCTCCCACAATAGTTATACAACTGTGTACCTTTTGTAGGCCACCCACAAGTACCTCCCTGTCCCACACCCTGCGCTTACATTAAAATGTTAAAATAGATAGATCTTTTATTCTTACGATTCCTTCTGAGAGATAGATCAGGAGGTGCACTTAATGCATCTGTGATTTATATCCCTAGAGAAATTTAGGGATTAATGGCCATCATCAAGCCAAATAACATCAGGGGCTCAGATGCTCTACAAGTGTCCAGAACATCCTGACTTTGAATTAAAAAGTGAGCAGAAAATCTGAATGACTCTGGATTGAAATAAGCAGAGAATAGCTCTAGGAATCTGGATGAGACTGAATGTTTAAGGAAGTTTCTTTGGACCTTGTAAATTCTTTCTTGTTACCTTGGAATGACATTAAGAATATTGTTTTGCAATAAATTTCAAAAATTCTATTTCTATCATTATGTCCATTATTTCCCCCATGATTTCCCAGGAGGAAGAAAGGAAAATTGAAATATTCTTCATGTTGGAATTTGTGTTAATATGGCTGTTAACAGCCAGTATGATTTCTTGGAAGACTCCATAAAGAGACATTTCTAAAACTGAAACTTAAATATCAAAGAATGAGACATAAAAGCATCTACAGGTATTTATTTTCTTTATTTTAGTTTTGTCATCTATAAAATGGGGGTAGCACAAGTACCTCAAGTTGGATGAACATGCATCCTAATTTGCCTGAGCTAGTCCCAGCAGAATTATTCACAGTACTTCCTTTCATGTCCAAAAATGTTCCCGTTCGAATGAAAAGCCCAGTGGGGCTGTTGTGCCAGCTGATGCTAGAGCAGGCCTGGAACACCTAAGTGTCTCATACATGGTAGAGAGTATTACATACCCTCATCTTCATCATTTCAGTCATTTTTGCAACCCCTGCAGGCTCAAAATGTAAAAACACTTCCTGTCTTGACAGAAAGTATGAAATAAAACTCAGACACAGGGCTACTGCCCCGGGCTTATGCAGAGGTTTGATCTGCAGGCTCGTGCTGTGCTTCAGATGGCCTGACACACCAGGCTTCTGGCTCCAACCTTGTCACAAGCGGACAACACCCTGCTTTCTCCCTACCCAATTTCTGACATCAGTATGCCACAGTCCACAGCCCAAGGCAGAACCCAACCAAAGTTAGATACCAACCTTTGGAGGTGTCTTTTCTGGTCTGTACATTGATAAAGAACAGCATCGGTTTGCTCAGTATAGTCTCCCTGTAGTCCTTATAATCGCAGTAGTTGGTCAGTTCCACATACCTATGAAAAAAGCAGAGATAAACTGCAAATGTAATAAACCTGCCCATCTAAGTTGGGAAAGGGATGTCTGGACAGGTGCCTGCTACATTCCTAGTCCCTTTGAGAGAGGTAGGTCCTCTAAAATGTGTCATTGCAGAGGGGAAGTGAGGCTGGGAAAGAGGGTAGCAGTTCAGGGGTTCCCCAGGGCTCTCCTGTTCCCTCTACCTTCCATGTACAAGAGAGAGCTAAGAAGAGGAGGGGCCAGTGAGGCCTGTGGGTGCAGAGGGGTAGGGGAGAGAAGAAGAGGGGGGAAACTCTCATAGTAAGAGAAGAAAAGGGCAAGACTGAATGGATTAAACATAAAAAAGAGATAAACGATGTCAGAGCAGGAGTCAGGTACCACCTGTGAGCCATCCATGGTGGATTTTCACAGTCGCCCATCTTTTCATCACAGAGTCAATTAATAGTCACATTTCCTTAAAGCGACTCCTCTGCTCTCTCAGCATCCATGGTCAGATTGTCACTCTCCGGCACAGCCAGAAAAACTGTAGCTTTTATTACTATTCTGATGATGCAAATGATAACACCTGCCTTTGCCTATATACAATCCATCATCATCTGACCCAATGTGTCATTGGTAGGGAAAAGATAAAAATTTCAATTGGGAAATGACCACTAGGTGTGAAAATAACCAGTTTGCTCCAGAATTCTATGGATGGCTTTTGGAATACTATGGATTTGGCGTGTTCAGAGAAGGGGGCTGAGGTGGGGGAAGGGGGTTCTGGATAGCCACATGCTGGCTTTAATGGGTCACCTACACATGAGTCATTCTTTTCTTTTAGAATCTGAATTGATAAGATCCCCTGAATAATAAAGCTATGCTCAACATAATGTATTCTTTCTTTGATGATTTAGAAGCACTTTTAGGATATTAAGGCGCCTGTTAACATTATGGCAGAGCATGGCAGTTATCCCTGTACCTCAAAGGTGTGGAGACACTGCTTATATGAGAGCTGGTAACAGAACTCAGACGAAGAGATGGAGGCAAGATCCCTACTTACCGATTCAGGTCACAAGAAATACTTTCTCAAGTCATCTATTCCCAACTTCCCTGTTATGGTCCAATTGATAAACACATCTAAGCTCCAATGAAATAAAGAAATATGAGCATTCTTTTGAACTTGCTGTTATAAAATTTGGATATGTAAGTCACCAAAATGCAAAAAAAGATTGAGAATCAAGTTGTTAATCTCACGGATATTTAAGTATCTGGCATCCAATCACTTGTTTTATTTTGGAGGAGCCATACTAGACTGTTTTAGGGATTAGTTGTTTCATCTTTAATCGTGCACATTTCTGAATTACTAATGCAAACATTGTTTCTGTGAACTGGGTACTTACTGTATTTGCTGATGTTATCATTAAGGAGGAAAAGCAAACAGCTGAAGATGGTTCCTTTAAACTCTCATTTCATTGTTGCTTTACTCTGGCCCCAAAATGCTTTTTTCTAGGCTGAAATCATTTATTTATTTATTTATTTATTTATTTATTTATTTATTTATTTTTTAATTTATTGATTTTGTACAGAGAGAAAGGAAGAGAGATAGAGAGTTAGAAACATCGATGAGAGAGAGTCATCAATCAGCTGCCTCTTGCACACCCCCCCAATGGGGATATGCCCGCAACCAAGGTACATGCCCTTGACTGGAATCGAACCCAGGACCTTTCAGTCCCCAATAGGCTGAAATCTTTTACACCTGCCTCCAATCCAAAGACTGAAAGGCAGAACAATGTGATTCGAAATGAAAAGATCCAATTCATGCCCTAACTGACTGACTGTATGAACTCAGTCCCACAGCCACAACCCACTGTGACCTTAAGTGAGTTACTTAACTGGCCTGATTCTGTGCTTCCATCTGTAAGAGATACAACATTACCTTCTGTCTGTCAATTCAATGCAGTGCAAGTAGTGTTGACATATGTACTATACTTGGGTCCATAGTAGATGCTCAACAAAATGATTAGTATCTGTAATTCTGGCCAACTCTGCTGGCCACAGGGTGAATGAAGTTCTGTAAGCTTCTGACACCCAACTAGGGCTAGGTTTCTTTGAGTTACAAAAAAAAGAGGACAATCTGAGCATCTGGGGGGGAAATGAGCAAGAGTTTCTCCTTCATTGCTCCAATTTCTGTCCTCAGCTTTTCTGTTTGGAAGGCTAAAGAGAACAGCTTAATGAAGGCAATATTTGAAAGATAGGATGAGAAAAAAACACTATTTTTGCTTCTAGTGAGTCAGGACTGACAGAAAGATTGCCCACCTTCTAAGACACCTCCCTTTTTCTTAAGTCCCTTCAGGTTTCACATTATCTGTAGCATGATCTGAAAAGCTTCTCTAAAGTTCCCTTGGCTCTGAAGATTTACTGATCAAAGAGGAATGAAAATTCAAACCTATAGCTTCCATTTGAGTGTGTGTGTGTTCATTAAAAAAAATATGGAGCCCTAGCTGGTTTGGCTCGTGGATAGAGCACTGGCCTGCAGACTAAAGAGTCCCAGGGTTGATTCTGGTCAAGGGCACATGCCTGGGTTGTGGGCTTGATACCAAGTAGGGGGCATGCAGGAGGCAGCTATCAATGATTCTTTCTCATCATTGATATTTCTATCTCTCTCCCTTCCTTTCTGATATATATATATATATATATATATATATATATATATATATATATATATATTTTTTTTTTTAGAGGCCCATTGCACAATATTCATGCAAGAATAGGCCTTCCTTCCCTGGCTTTGCTCCCGGCCACACGGGAGCCTGCAAGTCCTCACTCACAGCTGAAACACTGCTCCTATAGTTCCCTCCATCAACCCCCTTCCCCTCATAGCAGGTGTCCCGCCCCTCCCGGCTGCTCTCACCTGCATATGCCATCTTTGTTGGGTTAATTTGCATACCCACTCCTGATTGGCTGTGGGCATAGTGGAGGTACACTCAATTTGCATGTTTGTCTATTATAGGTAAGATATATATATTCTATCTAATAAGAGAGTAAGATGCAAATTAACCATCACTCTGCTACACCACAAGCCATCCCACAGACCACACCCACCAGCCAATCAGAAGCTAATATGCAAATAAACCCAACCAAGATGGCTACGGCCTCAGAAAGCAGGAGGGAGGCTTGGGTTTCCCTGGGAAAGGAGGAAGCCAAGCTTTCCACCTGCCCTTGCTGGCCTAGGCCTCCACTCAAGGCTACAAAGTTTCAATGATAGAAGATACATAAATCTAACAGAAATGGCAGCAGCCATGGAGCTGGAAAGAGCAGGAGACGAGGGTTGCCCCTGGCAATGGAGGTAGCCAAACTTTCCGAACACCCTGGTTGTCCCAGGCCTCAGCTTAAGACTACAATGTTTCAATTATAGAAGATACATAAATCTCAACAGAAATGGCTGCCACCATGGAGCAAGCAGAAGGCTTGGCTCCTCTCCAGCTACAAAGTTTCAATTATAGAAGATAAATAAACCTCAGATACCAGGGCCTCCACTTGGGTCACCAGGGGTTGTGGCCAGCCTGCAAACCACCACAGACCCCTTGCCCAGGCGACCCTACACCCCAAGGGAGCCCCCACCCTGATCCGGGACATCCTTCAGGGCAAGCCAGTCAGCCCCCATCCATGCAGTAGGCCTCTATCCTATCTAATATGCGGATTGACCATCACTCCAACACACAGGATGGCTGCCCCCATGTGGTCAAAGATCCTGCTCCCATGTGGACACAAGATGGCCACCACAAAATAGCCAGCAGGGGAGAGCAGTTAGGGGTGACCAGGCTGGCAGAGGAGAGAAGCGGGGGCAATCAGGGAAGGGTAGTTGGGAGGGACCCAGGTCTGCAGGGGAGAGCAGTTAGGGGGGACCAGGCCTGCAAGGGAGGGCAGTTAGGGGCAAACAGGCTGGCAGGGGAGTAGTGAAGCATCAATCAGGTTGACAAGGGAGTGGTTAGGGGGTGATTAGGCTGGCAGGCAGAAGCAATAGGGGCAATCAGGAAAGCAGGCAGGCAAGCAGTTGGGAGCCAGCAGTCCTGGATTGTGAGAGGGATGTCCCAGATTGGAGAGGGTGCAGGGACAGCCCTCCCCCGCCCACCCCCCATGCACAAATTTCATTCATCAGGCCTTTGGTGTATACTAGAGGCCCAGTGCATGAATTCATATTCTCTCTCTCTCTCTCTCTCTCTCTCTCTCTCTCTCTCTCTCTCTTTCTGCAGAATGATTCATTCATTCATTCATATATGTAATAAACATTTGCACCAATGATATGCTGGGCATTGGGGACACATGAGAAATGGTCTTGCTTTCAAGCAGCATATAGTCCACTGAGGAGACAGATAAGAAGATGCACCATTTCAATATGAAACAATAACTGTCTAAGACCTTGTTGCTTAAAGTGTGGCCCTTGAACCAGCAGCACTGGCATCATGTGGGAGCATGTGAAACTGCAGATTCCCAGGCCCCTCTCCAGGTTTATTCAATCCACACAGTCTCCAGGAGACCAGCATGCTTACTTAAAGTCTGGGAAACACCGGTCTAAGACACGGTCCCTCCCACTCAGAGGTTTACAAACTAGTTAATCATTCAAAAACACAAATACTGGAGGAATGCTCATTTCTCTACATTCAGTGTCTGCTCTTTCCACAGGGTTATGTCCCAGTTACTTAAATAAGAGAAAAGTGGGAGAGTCCTGGGGTCAGAACCATTTATTGAGCTGAGACACTCACTAGAAAAGTGATCTTTCTGTTGGGCTCAGCATTCTGTGGATGGTGAGCAAAGCAGGAGAAAGATGGAGAACTCAGGAGGAGTCATGGCTTAGCCAGGCCTTGGGAACAATGGGGTGGCTTCCTTCCTGCCTCTAGGTAGGCATATGGCAAGCATCAGGTGAGCTGAAAACAAGAAGTAGACCAGGGTGTGTCTGGAAGTCCAGAAAAAGGCTCCTGAGGAAGAGTAAGTCTCCTGAGGAAGGAAGGCAGGAGAGAAGGCAGCAAAGGCTTGATGCTTTTCAATAATCTGATTTGGAATTGATTTCTGTCTCTGTGACTTTTAACTTTGACAAGATCCATATCCTCACCTGTCAAATCTAGCTGACAACAGGAAATTTGTGCCCTAGCTTATTTGGCTCAGTGGATAGAGAACAGGCCTGAGGACTGATGGGTCCAAGGTTCGATTTTGGCCAAGGGCACATGCCTGGGTTGCAGGCTCGATCCCCAGTAGCGGGTGTGTAGGAGGCAGGTGATCAATGATTCTCTCTCATCATTGATGTTTCTATCTCTCTATCCCTCTCCCTTCTTCTCTAAAATCAATAAATATATATATATATTTTTTTTTTAAAAAGGAAATCCTTGAAGTGGCTAAAAGATTAAATAATGTGTGTGAAGCACTTGGCCTTGGGGGCTGCTTAATAATAATATAAAAGCTAATGATTGTCAAGTAATCAATATGTGCTGATAGTTAAGTTAAGTACTTTATGAATTTTCACTCTGAACAGCAACCCTGTAAGAGTAAGGAATTATCATTCCTATTTTACAGCTGAGGAAACTGAGTAATGGAGATGAAGTAGCTTTCCCAAGCCACTGAGGCAGTAAGTACAGAACATGGATTCCAACCAAGGCCATCTGGTGCTGGCTCTCCCACCCATCCACATGTACTTGAGACTGTACTCATAAAAACCACAGCTCAGCCCACCATGAAAATTACTTCATCAGAATCACTCGGTGCCCTGCTGAACTGGGAAAACACCAAAGCCAAGACTCAGACATGGGAACCAAAGCTGAAGACCAGCCAAGAGGGCAGGATGGGCACCGCTGAGCTCAGCCACAACAAGAGTAACCATGCTGCCCTTTGTACGTGGAGCTGTCACTGCTTGCTGTCACTGCTTCCAACCTCCTGGCCTCAGTCAAGATCACTTTATATATATATATATATATATATATATATATATATATATATATATATATATAATTAATTTTTTTACAGAGAGGAAGGGAGAGGGATAGTGAGTTAGAAACATCGATGAGAGAGAAACATTGATCAGCTGCCTCTTGCACACCCCCTACTGGGGATGTGCCCGCAACCAAGGCACATGCCCTTGACCGGAATCGAACCTGGGACACTTGAGTCCACAGAATGAGGCTCTATCCACTGAGCCAAACCTGTCAGGGCCAAGGTCACTTCCGAGAGGTGGGGCTGGACAGGCAGAGGGAGCCCAAGCACTTCCACTGTGGAGTGGGGGCGAGGCTTCCCCAGTACAAACCTGACTATGTTCCAGCTCTGCCTTGGGGTCCTCACTTTAACTCCATGAGTCTCCTCTTCCAGCCCCTCACTCTGCCTCTGTGGCTGCCCTCCAGGTGAGTGTGCCTGTCACCATCTAACAGCTGGTAGAACACAGGCAGGAGCAGTCGCCTCTCTGCTTTAACTGACTTCTTTACAACCACTGGACTTACTTTTGCTTTTAGGTTGATTATATAATACATGATGAGTACTGGCTGATGTAATTTCAGTTATTTTTTTTTGTATATTTCACGAGAAAGCTGCTGTCTACAGTAATGCAGGAAGCTTTCAGGTCGGGGCGGTGTGCCGAACACATGGGTGCGTAGTTAGACAAGACTGCATAGGAGCCTTGCCTCCATGCTTCCCAGGATCCCATTTAGGTGCAGAACTTGACCCTCCCAATCCTAATTTCTACCTGCACAAAGGGGAGCTCCATACGCTTTTGTGAAGTAACAGCTGTGAAACATTGTGCCCCTTTCCTGGTACTCAAGCAAACATTAGTGACCCCTGTTATTATTGTCAGGTTTATTTTTATTACCCAAGCAGCCTCTCTCATGCTAGGGAAACACTGAAAAGCAGGGATTATAGCTCCTCTTTGCCCAATGTTTGCCATTATACTTCACTCACAGGAAAAAAGGTGTGTGTATGATAGTTAATGATGATTTATACCTTCTATCTTGAGCAGGTTTTGTTTGTAGTACCAACAGAAATCCAGAGCTTGATGGAAAAAATAATAATAAAGATTCTGCAATAAATCCCACAAAGTAGGACAAAGATTTTTAAAGCAGGTCCTCAGAAGCTTTAAAGCCTGAGGGCCATCAAAAAACCTCACCTTACGTTGCCTTGGGCTTATTTATGTAGAAAAGTGTTAAAGTGTCAGAAAACAAACCACAGTAAGTTGAGCCAGTGAACCACAGGAATGTCAGGGTCAGGAGCTCTGAACCTTTCAGTTTCCTCGGGAAAGGACCTAGTGAAGCCACAGTACACACTTCTGCGGCCCCCGAAAAAAATCCTGCTTACACTGTGGGCTTATCCCAAACCAACAATATTTGTGCAATGGAAAAAAATAATTAGCAGAGCAAGGATTCCTAACCTGAATTCAACTATCTCATAAGCTACACAAATGGTCAGCAACATTGGGTGTGTCTCTATGCTTCTGGGGGGAAGATCTACATGTGATTGATTCCCCAAAGTCTACAGTCCAAAGTGATTAAGAATGATTGCTTTGCTTTCTCCCCCTGCCCCCAACACACACCTTCTCGGCTGCTCTATGGCAGGAATATGGTGACTGAAAAGATGAAAAAGTCACTGGTGAAAGAGCACCATCAACAACTCATGAAAAGTGTAAAGTATGTGTGGGGATACAGCCACCTTGAAGATAACAGACAAGGCAATGAGAAACTGTCATCCTCTCTAACTGCCCAGCCTTGGCGAAGTCCCAAATAGAGTGCTACTCCTTGTTAGCCAAAACTGATGTTCACCACCCCTCGGAACTAATAGTGACCTGGGCACAGCTGCTAGACACACTGACGTACACACACTGGCTGGTACCCAGGTGATGTGTGACCTTCAGCAGTCTGCCAGGACAGACTGGTTAAAAGCAAGTCGTGCAATGTGACTTCAGTAAAACTGGCCAAAACTTACTGAAGCAAGAAGTGAGGAAGAAAGGAAGAAAGGAAGAAAAAAGGGGAAGGAGGAAGGGAGGGAATAAATCATTGCTTTGGAGCAATATTTTGAGAGAGGAAGTTGTATGCTAGCCCCAGGGTAAATTTGGGTAAATTTGGCCAAGCTGAGGAACAGCAACTTTGGAATCTGAATTCTGACTATGCATCCACCTCGTGACCCATGAGGGCAAACCTCTCACTGTGGCCTACAACTCAGTCTTCACTCTCTTTCTGGAAGGCTCTCTCCATTCACACTAGTTTCCTTCCCAGGACTACACACCTAGTTACAAAAGCCTACTTTCCCTGCCATAGGATGTTCCTGAGAGGAAAGCAGATGGTTCCTTCCAGTACCTCAATTATCTTCAGTTCTTCCTGGCTCTTTCCTACGGTCCAAAAACCTCACACAATTGCTTAGATGACAAAAATCTTGTTTTTCTGACTGTTTGCATCCTGGTCTGTTGCCTGGTCATTATTTATTATGGACTCTAAACTGCCAGGGTGTCACTGCTGTCATATTCTTTTATGTAGGAGATGTTTGAAGCAAGAGTTTAATAACCAAACTACAAAATCGTTTAAAAATTCGCAGCACTGTTTGCTAAGACTGGGAGAACTGCCTCTGTCAAAAGCCTAACTTGTATCTTCAACTAATTCTTAGCATTTTTACTTTTCATATCGTTCTCAAATGCAATGCTTAACCTCTTTTTAAGTCTCTGCAAATCTGATTTCTAATTCAGTTTCTCCCAGGCCCCTGCTTATGGGTTGGAATTTCCTATTCACTAAGAAAGGGAGAAATTCTTGCTGCGGAATGGTTTTTCAGGCATTCAAAGCCCTCCTCTCTGCGGGAAAACAAGGTTTTCCCAGCGGCTGGAAGAAGGCATTTTAAATGTCTTCTTTTGCTTGCCTCTTCTTGGCTGCATCTTACCCACGGGTGGCACGGTGCTGCTGTCTTTCTCAGCAGCAAAGGCTTTGTAATAGCTGGTGGGTTTACTCGGCTATGAACCAAGCTCTAGACTGCTCTTACATGATTACAGGCAATTTTCAGACAACTATGACACATGCACACTTGTACACAGCACTTACGTTTGCCCACAGAGGGTCCTGGGTTAGACTTTATGGGACTTTGTTCTCTTCTCAGCTGTGGTTTGTTTGTTTGTTTATTTATTTACTTGAAGCATTAAAAGATGGGACACTTTGAACTTTTATAGGACTCTCCACTGGGTCTCCTCACTGGGTAAAGCTAATCATGCACAAAAGTGCGCATTCTCTCCCCGCTCCCACCAAGCTAAAGTCAGGATGTGAGTCTCTTCTCTGAAACATCCCCGAAGGGTGTGTCCTGTTTGAGCTCATCTGACCCGGTGAAGGAGCCAGAAAGGGAAAATCACTGGCCAGCGGGGTGCTCCCCTGCGGCTTCGAGCGCAGCTGCGAATGTCTGGGCGCGGGGCGGGAGAGCGGGCGGGGAGCTGGCGGCCCGGGGACGGCACCCAGAAGCGAAGGACAGAGGGACTCCCGGGGACCCCGAGGCGGGCGGGGTGGGGGAGGCGCACCCACCTCTTGATGTAGCGGCCGAGGCGGCAGAGCTGCCCGTCCACGCGCACCAGGCCGTCGGCGAAGACGTTGAAGCCCCCGCTGGCGGCGGCCGTCTCCCCAGCCCAGGGCGCTGCGGGCTGGTCCCCGCGCAGCGGGAGGGCGCCGGGCAGCAGGCGCAGCAGCTGGGCCACGGGTAGCAGCGCCAGCTCGCAGTCGCACGTCCACAGGCTGCGCAGCTCCCCCGACGAGATGGACGTGAGGCTGGGCCTGGCCGGGGGTGCGCACGCCGCCGCCATCCCGCCGCCCGAGGTCCGGGTCCGCCGCTCCGGTGCCGCCCGCCGCCGGTGAGGAGGGAGCGCTGCAGCCCGGGGCGCGGAGGAGGCGGCGCGGGCGCCCTTGGCCTTTATATCGCCCGGCGCCGCCCCGGCCCCAGGGCGCTCCCCCAGCTCCGCGCTCCCGCCCCGCTGGCCGCAGCCAAGGCTTACTCACCCGCCTCCCGGGCGCCGGCCCGGCCCGCACTCCTCACGGGGCTGGGAGGACCCGGCGGGGCGCCCGGGTGGGGACAGGGCCCTGGGGCCGGTCCCCGCTGGTGGGCGGGGAGGGCCAGCACCCACCGGCCCGATACACCGCACCCGAGTGTGCCAGTGGAGGAGGCGCACCCTCCGCCTGCTCTCCGTACCCGTTTCTTCACACCAATCATTACCCTGCATTTCCCTCCTGGTACAGAGTCCACAGATGGTCATGTCACTTTTTCAAGAAGCCTCTGTGAACCCGCTGTGCGTTTTGCCCCATGGCTTCTCTGCGGGGGACCACGGGCCTACGGTTGCCAGCCCAGGAGAGGGGATGGAGGGGAACAGCAGGGCTCCGACAGCCTCCGCAAGCCCCCAACAAGTTCACTTTTTTTCAGACAGTCTATAGAAAGTTGAGTGCTCATTCTGCAGACACACCGAATGGTTTGATCTCCTGGGGTAGGAAAGGACTAGTTTCATTACAACTACTAGTATTTCTGAAACTTCTACTACGAGCCAGATAACCAACTAAATTCTGAGAAGACTGGAAAATAAACACAAGTCCTGACCTTGTCCAACTTACAATCTAATGGGGGGGACAAGCATTCCAGCCACCACCACGCACTGAATGATAAGCATTGCTGGGGAGGTCCCTGGATTTATGGGAGGAGAATCCCACCCAGTTCGGAGGAGCTGAGCAGCAGATTCCCCAAGTCCTATAATTTAGAACTCTAAGCTAGATCCTAAAAGTTGAGTTCAACTTACAGACTAGGTTTCACTAGTCTTTGTGTATGCCCATCATGGACCCATTTAGAGACTTAATCAAGTCCAACGAAGAGTCCAGCATTTCTCACTTAAATCCCAGAATATCAATGAGCTCCACTCACCAGTCCTTCCAACCTGGGTCCCTCAGCCTCAGGCTACATTCCCAAGGTCTGGCTTCTCTGACAAATTTAAATCACCCAGCATACATTTATCACAATTGATCAGTCTTTTACAGAGAAGAAGGGGGTATCTGCCTGTGAAACCAGCACCCAAGAGGATTGCTTGGTGAAGTGAAGCCTGACCACTGCACAGAGGATGGGTACGAGGAGGGCTGAGGCCAGAGGCAGGACCCTTAGGCTGGGGCTGCTTTCACAGGGAGAGATGTGGTGCCATGCCTTAGACCCAGCACACCTTACACAGGAGGTTGTTGTTTGCCCAAACATTGACATGTTCACTGCTACGCATCAGCACCATCTTAAACTCTGAAAGTATTACCACCAACAACAAAACAAAGAACCTGGTCAAGATGAGTGATATAAGAGATGTACAAACTAAGTTCTTTGAAAGTAAGGTCAAGGCAGTAGTGCCTACTATCTGGGAGGCCCCAGAAAGGAGTCTGAGAGGATGTGACAAATGGGCTGAATGCTGAACAGGGAAGGAGCTCCAAGGGAAAGGAGCAACATCAACAAGAAACTGGGAGAGAAGATTCTAGACCAGTCTAAGTAAAGAGAGAAGGTATGATCTATTTGAGGAAGAGTGGGGAATTTTATATGGCTAAAGCATACCAGTACTATTTGGGGTGAGAGATGACATGAGACCAGAAAGGGAAGTTGGAGCCAGACTATGAGAGGCCTTCTGAGCTTTCTAAGAATTTGGATTCTAAAGCAATGGGAAGGTTTTGAATGTTTTGAAGGAAAAAAGTGGGGAGTTTTGTTTTTTTTTTAATGTTTTGAATATTTATACCTGAGTTTAGATTAGGTACCTTTCGTTATGGTTACATAGATGATGTTTTGAAGCAGGAAGGCTGGAGACACAGTTCAGGTAAGATAAAATGAGGGTCTGAACTGGTTCACACAGCACCTATGGGGATGGAAATGACAGGATGGATTTGGGATATGTTTTAACTAGAGTCAGCAGGATTTGCCAAGCAAATACATACCCTGTTTTCCCAAAAATAAGACAGTGTCATATTAATTTTTCTCCCAAAGTTGCACTAGGTCTTATTTTCAGGGGATGTCTTATCTTTCCATGTGCTAGGTCTTATTTTCAGAGGATGTCTTATTTTCGGGGAAACACGGAGAAAAGAGTGAAACAAAGGAGTGGAAAGAGTATTTGGTCTTTCTCTTGGCCACCTAGACATATGGTAATGGAACATCCAAGTAGAAAAGTTCATGAGGCAGCTAGTTAACTGGGTCTGCAGTGTTGGAGGGAAGACAAGTTCAATGATTGAGATTTGAAAGTCATTAGCTTCTATGAGGGTGAACCCAGAGAAGTGATAGGTAGGAATTTGAACCCCAGCCTCTAGTTTACTTGCGTAAATGTTTATTGAGCACCTGCTATGTCCCAGAGCCAGTGGTTTACAAGATGGCCCTATGCTTCCACAATGAGGAAGAATGAAGGGATCAGCATAGCTCATCTTCTGGCATCATGTCCAGACTTATTGCTGAAGCCTAGTCATATTTTTCATACAGCAAGTCTGATCCACTGATGGAACACACTCTCAACAGTGGTACAAAGTTGCCTTCTTAATAAGGTCACTGAGGGCAGATCTACTGTGGAGCCCAACCCAGCCCCACACAGACCGAGCTCAATACTGTTAATTGATTGCCTTTAAAATTGCACTGCTAGCGGCTGCCAGGCTGGGAGCGGCCAGGCCCGGGGGAGCAGCCGGGTCGAGTGCGGCCAGGCCCGGAGCAGTGGCTGCCAGGCTGGGAGCGGCCAGGCCCGGAGCAGCAGCAGCCAAGTCCAGAGCAACTAGGTCAGGAGCGGCAGTGACCAGACCCGGAGCAGCTGGTTGTGGAACGAACCAGAGCAACAGAGGCCAGGCCCTGAGCAGCCAGGCCCAGAACAGCTCGCTCCTCACTTGCCCCTGCCCCACGGCTGCCTCTCAGACATGGCTGGAAACTTTCGTGGGAACTTGAGGGTCTGCTGAATCAAGTGATGAAGGCTTAGATCTGGATGTGTTGAGTTAGTATAGGGCTGAGGTGTTGATCTGTGAGTGCCTTGGGTGGGGCCTGGATGAGGCTGGTGGACCTATTGGGAAATGTCTTCTGTGTGAAGTGTATCATTGGGCATGTGGAGGTATTATTGATATGAGAAAATGCTAAGTAACTGATTTACTATCTGAAAAGAGATTTACTATTGGGGAAAGGGAGGGAAGAAGAGACTGAACATAAACTGTGCACCTATGGATGAGGACAATGGGGGATGGGGAGGGGGCGGAGGGGGGCGGGGAACCTGGTGGAGGGGGGAAGAAATGAGGAACCTTTGTAATAATATGAACAATAAAGATTGATTTAAAAAAAAAATTGCAGTGCCAATGGATGATTTGGCTTTGTTGAGGGATGAAATGTAACATCAGTTTTATGTCAGAGTTAGTTATATTAGTTTAACACAATCATAGCAGTCCCTCCCATCAAAATCTGTTCCTGTTCTTGTAAAATACAACATTAATTATCTGAATATAGAATTAAGTGAGATTTTTCTTTGCTCCTCCATAGTTCTCTGATTTTACAATTTTCTGCATTTTCCAAAAGAGTGGAGTGTGTGTGTGTGTGTGTGTGTGTGTGTGTGTGTGTTTTACAGTGGAATGATGTTGAGCAGAATAAAAACATTTTGAAAATGCTTTCCTAATGTGTGATGCAGAGATTTCACTTGATGCATTTTCAGGAAAACCCCTGCATTTCTTTATGGATAACTTATGCTCTACCAAAATGCCAGAGAATGATATGAAAAATGAATAGGAAAAAAATAGTACTGGTTATATTTGTTGGTTGCTAATCAGTTGAGAACTATAGCAATCTTTTTCTATTTACTATATTTTTATTATCAAAGTAAGAGCTAGGTAAATAAAATCACTGCTAGTGAACATATTTTAGTCTTTTTTATATGGTTACATAGTTGTGATGATATTGTAGAATTTTTATCCTGCTTTTCTCACTTAACACTGTATGAATACCATGTTTCAAAAGTTGTATTTTAAGCTACCATATTATCTTCTATCAATCAAGTGGGTATACTAGACATTTATTTACATGTGGGTATACTAGACATTTATTTGATTTTCTATTTTATAAACAATGCTGCAGTAAATATCTTCACACTTTCATTTGTTTCTGCATCCAAACTCTCAGATGTGACATCATTAAGACAAGTGATATGACAACGTGTGAGGTTCTTAAAATGTGTACCATTGTCTTCCAAAAGAGTTGTAGCAGTCTTGTCATCAGCAGTGAATTCTCATAGTTTTAAACTTCTGGTATTATGGATCTGGTATTTTGGATATGGTACCTCATTGCTATTTACTAGCAGTTTAGCTATAGTGTTACCATTCAGACTTAGGAACCATTTACCACAGAGCACTCACTCATCAGTGAGTCTTTGGCTATGTTTGCAGTTAAAGAAGACATAGTGATATCCTTGCCATCCCCAGGTGCCCCCTCTGAGGTGATTGTACTTCTTTCACATCACCAGCTACAGGCTCAGCTTTGAAGGTCCACAGTCTTGGAGACCCTGATTAAAATGAATCAAACCCGCAACAAACTGAAGAACAACTTTCTCATTCTTAGATTTCTTCATTGTACAAATAGCTATAGGGTTCTTACTCTTAAACAAAATATATATATATATATTTAAAACATTTTTACATCCCACTTCTCTTTTTTATACTTTCCCATCTCTTTTCTTCTCTGGATAGCCAAACTCCCTGAAAGAATTATCTAGATTCTCCCCTGCTACCATTCACTCTTCAAGACTTTACAACCAGAACCCAAGATGGCAGCGTAGGTAAACACATCTAAACT